TTCGCGCGCTGCATTTTGTTGATTTTCTCTGTATTTGTCGAGTGTTTAAAATTTTTTTTTCTTTTTTTTTGTTTGTTTGTTTGTTTGTTTGTTTGATTTGAAACAGTTTTTTTTCGCGCAAGAAACAAAAATACGAAAGGCTTTATTGAGATTTATGATCAGTATAGAAGAAATTTGAATGTCAAAAAAAAAGATAACATAAATAAGGATTTTATCATTCATTTATGTTTGATAAAATGATTTCTGTTCGTTCATGTAAAAGTTTTCGATACAGTTCTGAACTAAAGTAGTAGTTCTCTAGAATGTGCTACTATTACTTGTAATATTTTTGGTGTATCTATGCGATAATAAACTTTGATTGTATTGGAGTTATGATTTAGATATTAGCTTATGTCAATCATGTTGCCATAAATATTTTCATTTGGCCTCTCATGTGAAAGGTCACGGTCGTAGCTAACTCTAGTGTAAAGTTCGTTTACAAATAATTGAGATATTGTCTTCCTATTAAGAATGTCTGTTGATGAGGGAATGGTGATTTTTAGTAAGATGGATCTTTTTCACAATAATTTTGATCTATTCATTTGAAAATTTGAGTAGAAAATTCCTATGAGACGGCAAGTCTGTTGTGAAATGTTCGACACCGTAAAATTGAATGATGTCGAGTTAGTATTACAACATGGGCTCATTATTTACTCAGATGTTGACTATATGTCATGAGTTTTGATAATAATAAAGTTGATAAATAGGACTGTCTTTAGTGCTAGAAAAAAGCCAGTAGTAACTTGTGGAATAATAACATGAGACAATAAAAATTTTTTGAATATATATTTCCGCTGAATATGTTTTTTCATAAGGGCAAGATGATATATGAGAATTATAACTGCAGTATATTTGAACCGACGGAAAGTGAGTTGATACTTGCAATCAGGGTTTATTGTCGAAAACATGTATCTAAACTATTGATAAAAAATAGTATTACTCTTTGAGGGATAGTTAATTTTCTCCAGACCTGTATAATATTCATTTATTCATTATTGATTATTGGAATGGTTGTATTTGAACGTTTAGATCTCAATTTTGATGATTGAATTTTTTTATTATAAAATCAAAATTATCGTCGAATGATTAATTTACGAATAGACCATGGTAATTGATCATAAAGTTTTGGTTGATTAGTTAATTCTTTCAATCGATCAAGAGCTTGTTGATCTAATGAGGAACGACGTCGATGAAAACAAGTTGTTCCGGATGATGATTGAAATGTATCAGGTCGAATTTCTGAACGACTACGAACACAATGCATTTCATATGTTGAAGGTAATAATGTGTCGTATGTTAAATGATGATTTCTTTTTATTGTAGCTAATTGTTTTTTAATATTCCTTATACGAACAGTTTCAGCATGAGTTAAACAATCTTTTGAATCACCAGTTGTACCTAAATAAATAGCCCAAAGTCGATCTCGATTTTCTTTATCAACTAATTCTTCTAAACAAAAAAAAAATCAAAATAAGATATAAAATGTTTGAATATTATCATATAAATATTTTTACCTAAGATTTCTTTTTTATTATTATGATCATTTATATTTCGAATAAAAGTTCTTGTTCGACGTTTAACTGAATCTTCAGTTTCTTCTGAACGAGTTGACATTTGCATTCCTAACATAAATACAATACCAGCTGAATACCAAAGAAGAACAATAACAATATATATAATAGCACCATTGATTTCATAATTTGTTAAAGATGTTTCAACAATAGTCGTTACGTTATTTTTCAATGTACTATTTTTAATCATTTTGTCTTTTTT